CATGTCCCGACTAGCACATACTCAGTATGCGTTCCCCACATCATAATACATATCACGCTCGCCACGATCTATAACAGTTACGAACATCTCTCCGTCTGACGCATTAAACACATGTTCACCTGGATTTTCTCCACGCTTCAAGAACGAGAATTATGGGATGTTTCCTATTTTCTCTCACCATTTGGAATGTATAAAAGGGAATCAATTACCAACTTGAAAGCTCTCGTAACCTGTTACTGTTTTTTTAACGTTTCTACACTGCTACTTTGTTTTGGTTTTTATTATTCCAATTTCATAACTTTCAGTATTTTACTTTTTCTACTTTTCATAGTATTCCGTAAGCATTAGAAAAACCTCACCATCAAAGAAGTATTTTTCCACATCGGAGGAATACTGCAACTCTAGTTTTGTTTCCAAACTTCCAGAATTCGTTTTAGAATATTTTCATTTTCTGCAACGCAATTTTATTATTTCAAAGTTAATCCTGTCGGCTTATGGAGGATACGTGCAATGCTCAAATTTATTGCTTCAGTATTTTATTTTCAGGTTCTTATTTTATAGTATAATTTATTTATTCTTACCATGCATGTGTTATTAAAATTACGTTTTAATTTTATGTTATCCTGGAATAAAATGATTTATGGCTAAATTCCCCGATACCAGTATGTAAATATTAACCAAAGGGATTCAGTAATTAATTGACATTAATATTTTTTACAAAAACACTTTCTGGTTTTATTTCCAATTTGAATATTTAATTGTTTTTGTACGAGAGTAAAAGACAGTCTAAGATTAAAATTAACAAAGTGAGAGTTTGTGGTTTTAACCAGATAGTGGTTATTAAACATAATTTTAAAAACAGCGAGAGTGCTTTAAAATTAATTGGACTCTAATTGTTTTCAAAAAATACTTTTTAATTTTAAAATGAAACAGCGAGAGCGCTCATTTTGAGTTTAATAATATGACCTGACTTGATAGAACTAAAGTGTGAGACGAGGGTTTTTAAATAAACAGTTTCCACTGAAATAGTATTTTAATACTGAAAACAAATGTCAATGACTTATTGAATCCCTAAAGTTTCCAAGTACATACCGGTGTCCTATTATTAATTACTAGATTTTAGTTAATTCCCGATTAAATCCAAATACCCAATTTTGTTATTTGTCCTTAGCTTTACACAGTAACCCTAAGATACTGGTAGTTTGACCACCAGTCCTTATGGGTTCGATATCTTTTAAAACTATGCGATAAGTCTGTTCACTTGTAGTCACTACACTCGATAGACTCATAAAGTCGCGATCATAAATTCACCTCCACCGTCGATTTTGAGAATTTTCAACTTGTGACCGCTTTGCTGCTCCACCATAGATTTAAAACGTTTGAACACATCAAACACATCATCTTTCCTCTTGATTAGATAAATCCATAGCTTCCTACTAAAATCATAATGAAAGTGACAAAGTACCTATTTCCACCATACGAGTCAACTTGCATTGGTCCGTAAACGTCTGAATACATCACCTCAAGATAATGTTTCATTCTATGGCCTACGTCCTTGCTGAAACTATTATTGTGTTGCTTACCTTGAACACAATCATCACATATCTCAGCTGGAACATTGATCTTTGGCATCCCGGTAACCATACCATTCCTTTGCAACGCGTCGAGGTCATGAAAATTGAGATGACCAAGATGGTAGTGACACAACCACTCATCACGACTTGCCGCTGTAGCAAGACACTTGTGTTCCATCACCTTCAATTTAATCTTGAAGGTACGATTTGCAACCACTGGTGCCTTAAGAATTAAAACTCCATTTTGGTCAAAAACGCGTAAAATTATATTCTCCATGCGAATAGTGTAATTCTTCTCAAGCAATTGGCCAATACTCAAGAGATTACACATGATTCCAGGAATGTATAACACATCCTTGATCAAGGAATGACTACCATCCTTCTTCATGATCAAAACGTCACCAACACTATCGACGGCTAAAGTGGTGTCATCCACGAATTTCACCTTGTTCTTTGTGGCTTGATTGATTTTGACAAACCAATCCTTTCTACCCATCATATGTGTTGAAAAACTAGAATCCAAGTACCACTCATTTCTTCCTTGAACCCCATCTCGAACAATTACCATCACGTTTTGTTCTAGACGCATTTGTGCAGAAAATTCTGCACTGCAAACGTTGCTGCCTGGCAACTTGTAGCTGCTACTGCTGCTGTCCAACAACTCTTTCATGACATAGTTCTCTTCCGTGATCATGACTAGAAGCGTATTATCGTCATTCGATTCCTGTCGAGTTACCTTAGCCTCATCACCTTGATTTTCTTTCACTTTCGCATACCATTATTTTGCGAAATGACCAAGCTTGTTACAATTGTAACACTTTACACCAGTCTTGTCAAACTTTTTAGTATAGATGCCCTGGCCACTACCTTTGGAGTTGTTCTCACCTCTTTGCACCACCGAAGCCTTTGAATTTTATGATTTTTTACCACCAAAATTATGGAAATTTGTCTTCTCTCTTGAAGACCATTTTCCTTTCGGTCTCTTGTTCCTATCATTGAATCATGCTTGTAACGCAATCTCCGCTTTTGCCTTGTCATTTTCTCTTTCATTCATCCTTTTTTCATGATCCTCCAATGAGCTTTGAAGCTCCTCCTTGCTCATATTAAGAAGATCCTTTGATTTTTCTATTGCAACCAATATGTTGTCAAATTTTGATGTTAAAGAACGCAAGATTTTTGCTACCACATTTTGTACCGACACAGTTTCACCAAAAGCCTTCATTTGATTCACCAAACGCGTTATACGCGTAATGTAATCGTTGATTGATTCCTTCTCTTTCATTTGCACTAACTCAAATTGCCTCTTGTGAGTTTTTAACCTCACAACCTTCACTTTATCATCCCCTTCATAAGTTTTCTTCAAGATCTCCCAAGCTAGCTTCGCCGATGTGCAATCACCAACTTTCTCAAAGTTGTTGTTATCGACGCAAGAATGTATCAAGAAAAGTGCTTTGTAATCTTTATTCTTCTCTTTCTTGAATGTAGCTTGTTGTGAAGTTATAGCCTCTGCCACAAGAGGAGTAATGCCATCGTTAGCGATTTCTAGAACTTCTTGGTACCCAAATAAGACTTTCATTTGTTTGCACCATTTGTCAAAGTTTTTAGAATCAAGAATTGGAGGGTTGGTAGAGATTCGATCAACGGAAATGGTAGACATGTTTGCAGCGGGTTAATGGATCAGAACCAAGGCTCTTGATGCCAAATGTTGGGATAAACACAAAAATAGAGTAATTGAGAGAGAGAGAGAGAGAGAGAGAGAGTGAGAGAGAGAGAGAGAGACAAGAGAGAGATAGAGTGAGAGAGTAATTGAGAAGAAAATTATAATTGGCATTAACAACATTCACATTACAAGAGGGTTTATATAGTGTGCTTAAAAACATAACAAACACACACAACTAAAAGGCTGCTTCTGTCAGCTAATAGAAAAACAAAATGTCGCGCTAGAAACCGATTTCCTAAAACAGGAAAATCAATTTCCCCAACTGAAAAACATAATAGAAGTCAAAAATACGTGACAGAAACCGATTTCTCAAAACCTGGAAATCGATTTCCTCTGTGAAACTTCTAGTCCCAGCAGCAGCAATAGAATAGCTTTTCAACACAAGCTGTTTTTTAAAACAGCTTCCAAAAGCTTATATACTGCACTTGACTTATTTTAAACATCCAATATAATCCTACTTTACAGACTAACAAGGAGCGTCTCCACAGAGGCCACAAATTTTTATATACTAAAATTTTATATTTGATAGGCGATATTGATGTATTGTATTAAGAGATAAGATAAGGCATGAAATTGATAGATGTTGGTGTATTTTGTATTGATGCATAGGTTATTGACAAATTTGATTTTATTCAAAATCTCGTACCTTTTTGCTTTAAGTATTATTCCACTACGTTAAGTTAGTGTCACATTGCTCGTGAATAGAAGTTAAACTCTTTAGTTTAATTAAACATATTTCTCAAATGATAAAACGTGATAGACCAATGAATTTGAGGTCGATCGAAACATGAATTATATTCTAAATCAAAAATGTTTGGGGGTGTGTGTGACTTGTTGCCCATTTAAAAAAAATGCAAGAGTCTAATTTGTATAGGTGCTTCATAAATATTTGAGAATATCTAACTATATCTCTTGGATCTCTCACCCACCTGCAAATTGATAAAATTGCTCTCCTACTTTCGTAGGTGTATATCCGGAAGCACTTTTTTTTTCAAAAAAATTATTTTCTTCCGTAAATACTTCTACTGAAGCGTTAAAAAACGTAGTATAGTGGGTAAATTTATTTTTATTTCAATTCAGTCATTCTTTCGTATGTGCATCTACGGAAAGTGTTGAAAACAGAGTGTTCCATAGATGTACTTACAGAACAGTCTGCTATATTTTCAAATCATATTCATTTTAACTTCAAAACTCAATTTTTATTACAAAAATGGAAAATAAAATTATAGTAAATTAAATTAATGCATTACTCATCTTGCTATACTCAAATTATAGTAAATTATAAAATCAAATTTAGGTCTCATGTGGAATCTGTCTTGAATGATTCCGGATGACAAGTTGCGTCACAAATTAGTAACATCCATTTCATTGATCAATCTTATTTTGATGAGGAAATATATAATTACAAAGAAGAGCTCGAGTTGCTAGGAGTGATAGTTTATGTAAGTGGAAGTTTCCTAGTTGTCATTGAGCATTTAAAATTATCTTCAGATTTGGCCTCTTTGACAACTGAAGTTGTTCTTTTGATAATGGAATGTATCACTTGTCAAAGACTGCAAATTAGATTCAATTGAAGATTATTCAATCAGGTAAATAATAATCATGTTTAGAGCTAAAACCCATGTTAAGGGAAATCCCTATTTGGGTTGGCCTAATGCTTTGATAAAAGCCTCTATAATACTCAATCCCACCTTACTAAAAAAAATCTACTTCTCAGATGAAGTTGCCCTTAAAGTAATGTCAAGAGCTTGAATGGTTTCATAAGGACAATCTGGTTGCGTACGACGGAGAAACCGAGTAAGGTGGTAGAGATCTGTCTTGGAAGCAAACTTTATAGTAACCTTAAACTCTCGTTCACGCTTTTTCCTGTGACAAAGAGACAAAATCAGCAATCCATTACTACCTTATTACTAAATAGTATCCATATTAACTCATTACTAACTCAACTGCAAAAAACTCACCAATCAAAAGAATCAGAAGAGGATCCTCTATTTTCATCAGTCAAGTTAACCACACAAACCTTGGAGTTAAAAGGTATTGCCCCAGCAGTAAATAAGCTCTTCCTTCCATCATAAGCAGGTTTGTGGTTGTCCAACTGAGATTCCCGATACATTTTCACTAAATGGTTAATGATATCTCTGCATACTTTCTTAAAAGTAATCTCGTTATTATTACTTCCCAACAGTTTTAGAGTGAAATGATTATGATTTGAAAATATAGCAGACTGTTCCATAGACGCATCTACGCAAGAAAACAATTTTTTGCAAATCAAGGTGCTTCCGGATATGCATCTATGGAAGCAGGGAGAATAATTGGAATTTCTCCAGGTGGCTAAGAGATTCAAGGGGTGCATTGAGAAATCCTCAAAGATTTTCACACCTTTATTGCATGTATTTTGAGATTGCATTCTTTTTATAGAATAGTTGGGAAAAAGTTATAAATTCTATACATATTCGAAGATTCCTTTGAAACCGACATATTGATGGCCTTCTAGTTAAATGGACGACCTTAGGAGTCTTCTTCATTTATAGTATCATTTGGTGATGTTTCATCTCATCTATGAACCAGGAAATAAGCAAGTTGAAGAAATAGCCACCAAAAAAACATTAAAGCAAAGAATAAATTCCATATGTTTCTCACCAAATATCTGTCTTCTTTTGTAGCGGGTTCCATTAACAAATACATTTCTATGAATAATTTCTTTGGTTTCTTTAGCACCATTTAGGAGGAGAAATGTTGTCAACTGTTGTACCCTAAAATTTGCCCTCCCTTTTCTCAAGACATTTCTCACAAAGATTTTCAAAAGCTCAAGTTTGCACAAGTACAATTGGACTTTTAATGCCCCATATAGTTTATATGGATCATATTGGACTTTCAAGCATCATGTCGAAAATGGAATTTCTGAATCATCGAAATAAGGAAGAGGAAACTGTCGAAAGGGCAAAGCAGATAAAAGAAAAAGTGTGCAGTTGCAGATAACTATGTCGAATTCAAAATTTGGTTCAGGTTGTTCGAACTACATGATTGATCGAAAGGAGAGGTTGGCAGATTTTGAAAAATCGAAGAAGAGCAAGGTAAAACTGGTTGTTCGAACTACATAATTGATCGAAAGGAGTGGTTGGCAGATTTTGACAAGTCGAAGAAGAGAAAGCTTGCTTTAATCCCCAAGATTCAACTGGGCAATGGCTTCCTTCGAAGCAACCTACTTCAATTCCACCTCTAAACCCTTCGACACATATAGTTTGAACACTATGAATTACAAGTATATCTTCATGATTTCTTCAATCCACAAGCTTCGACTGGGCAATGGCTCCCTTCGAAGCAACTTGCTTCGATTCCACCTCTAAACCCTTCGACACACATAGTTTCTACACTTAATTATAATTTGAGGTTTGGACATTTGAACTTTCGACCACTTAATCAACTGATGATTACTGGTAGGAAAGAAATCCATAAATTCTTTCATTTTGACTATGCCAATGAGATCATCTTACATACTCAAAGTGGTACATTCAGATGAATGTGTTCCATTTGAAGAACACGCAATTTGTGGAAACAAATATTGTCTTGTATGTTGATGAGTTTGGTCGAAGGTTGTAAGTGGTCCATTCGAAGAACACACAATTGGTGGAAACAAATATTGTTTTGTCTGTTGATGAGTTTGGTCAAAGGTTGTAAGTGGTCCATTCTAAAAACACACAATTGGTGGAAACAAATATTATTTTGTCTGTTGATGAGTTTGGTCGAAGGTTGTAAGTGGTCCATTCGAAGAACACGCAATTGGTGGAAACAAATATTTTTTTATCTGTTGATGAGTTTGGTCGAAGGTTGTAAGTGGTCCATTCGAAGAACACACAATTGGTGGAAACAAATATTGTTTTTCCTATTGATGAGTTTGGTCAAAGGTTGTGGATCTATGTGATCCAAACTAAAGGATGAAGTATTCAACATCTTTTAGAGGTTCAAGATGCTTGCTAAACAAAGTCATATATGCTTCCAAGCCCAAGCTTGTTGTACTGTCCATATAACAGCCTAAAACCATGTCAAAAAACAAACTTCTTTACTGCTATGAAACATCCATGCACCAAGCTGCCACAACACTCCAAAACTGCTGCAAAATAGTCCTGCTATGCTGCTCCTAATTTGCACAAAATCAGCATATAAGAGTTGCACCCCAAAAGCTATGAAAAGAGCATACCCAAACGGTTTCAAATTTTATTTGTTTTCCCCCCAAAACCCCCAACAAGACTTTTCTTTAAATAAGTTGTTTCACCATACACAAAATGGGGGATTTTGGCAAAGGAAAAAGGAGAAGAAGAAAAAAAGAGAGAAGAGAGAACACGAAGGGTGAAGCCTTAAAACACTCTTAAGCCCAGAACCAAAAACACAACACCTATTTTCTTTTCTTTCGAACCCAAGAATATTCAAGGCAGCAACTCAAGTTCGAAACACGCATTTCAGCTTCAAGGCAAGTCTTATTGACTTTAAACCTTTCGTTCAATTATCATTGATGATTCATCTTCAAAGATAACATGTAATAATCATTGCCTTCGAAGTTACCCTTTTGTTTGTTTTTATTTCTTGTCAATTATATGTTAAGAACTAACCTGTACAAACCATAAAACAATGTTGGAGTGAGAAATTACAGCATGATTTGATACAAAGCCTTAGGCTTTGACACATACTACTTTATAGGCCCAAACGGAAGGAAAAAAGGGATCGAAAGAAGGACATGCTTTGATGCATATAAGCATGCTTCGACACATGCTTTGACACATAATGTTATGCTTCAATTTGGAATTACATGATATGCTTCGATGCATATAAAGAATGCTTCAACACATGTTATCGAAGGATTTATTTTTTTCTCTCTTTTGCGCTTTTTTTATATATTTTTTCATGTTTATTTTAATTAACCAAAAGCCTTCCATAAAAAAACCTTAAAAAAATGATTTCTTGATTAATTTGATTTCCTTTTAACTTAGGATTAATTTTCCTATTTTTTATTAATCATATCCCTTTAGGTTAATTAGGTCAAAATAATTTTCCTAACAAAAATCCAAAGCAAAATCCATTTCTTTTTTTATTCCTTCTACATTATATTCATGTCATTTCTTGTACATTTATTCGATATGGTTGTAATGCATAATTAGGTTTAATTTCTTGCAATCCTCATTTGTACATTTGTATCCCCTATCCTCTAATGATGTAATAGCTTAGGATTTTAATTTCTGCAATTTACCGCTTTAATATAAATTGTTAGTAATTAGGGTGTGTATGGCAAGATAAAATCAACCGTTACAAAATCCTAATTTCAAAGACAAAAATGGATGCAATCAAACACACTATTCACACACGTGCACCTCTAGGGTAAGCTCGCTTGTTGCCTCGAAAAATAGTCATATTCCTCGAATATGGTTGTTTTAGCAAAGACCCTCGATAAAAAAAGATCGTAGTCCCTCGATGTCCCTCGATGTTGCCTCCCGTAAACGATCTAGTCCCTTACGAAAATTGCTAAAACGTCTTATAAGTTTCCTTCTATGACTATACGATTGAACCACGCTCATTCCTTCACATCCAACAATAGGGCTTCTTACCAAATCAATGGTAAGATAGCAACATCTAAAGGAGGAGGAAAATAACATAGACCTTTTGAGTAGGTAGGAAGCTCATAGTTTCTTGCTCACAAACTAAAACCATTTCCACACTTACACTTTCAAAAACAAACATATCTTTGAACTATTTTCAAAACCAATACTTTGTATACATTCTTATAGAGACAAGAATCATTACAAAGTTTTCCGAAACAAAGGAGTTTTCAAAATACTTTCAAATTTACACCCATCACAAACACCTTTTCAAACAAAACAAATTTTCAAGTGATCTAGCAAGCAACTAAGAGCCTGTAGATAAATGCAGATGAAAAGGGTGCTAATACCTTCCCTTTTCATAACCTACCCCCCTAACTCAAGAAAAAATCTCAAAGGTCTTTCCTGTTCTTTTCACCCTTTCCTTTATTGGATAAAAGAAAAGTCGATGGCGACTCTTGCTATCCGCCACAATTGCAATAAAAGGCAAAACACCCAAGTCAATTCTCCCACCATATCACAGAACTGGAGACTATGCTGGGGATTAAACTTAAAAGTGGGGTTACCTTAGAGCTAGATTACATTTATTTGATTTCATTTTTTTATTTGTCTGCTTTACATTTATGGGTCCTTGTTTGGGTTTATATTGATCCTCTACCCGAATCGGGGAACACCATTAGGTAAGTAGAAATAGATTATGGAAAATGTACGACGTAGATCGATATGGTTAAAGCAATGTGTGATACGGTGGCAGAACCGACTGTTTAATACTGGTTTGCATTTTTTGTTCGCAAATGTCACTGTAAGCAACAGTCGCCACCGAATTTTCTTTTATCCAATAAAGGAAAGGGTGAAAAGAATAGAAAAAGACATTTTTTTGAGATTTCTGAGTAAGGGGAGTAGATTATGGAAAGGGAAGGTGTTAGCACCCTTTCCATCCATGGTTTTCCATGGGCTCTTAGGTACTTGCTCATTTTTAAAATTGCTTGTGTTTGTGTGTTTTGAAAAGCTTTGAAAAATGCCTTAGTGCGACGATTCACTTTATGGTAACTCTTGTATCAGTCCTCAAGAGTGTGATAAAGTGTTTTTGAAAACTTTGTTTTGAAAAGTGTTTGAAAGTATGGTATGAAAATTAATTTGAGCAAGTACTTAAGAACTGTCTACCTACTTGAAAAAAGACTATTATTTTCCTCCTATCCTTTAGACCGTGTTATCCTACTAATAGTTAGTAGGTAACCCTAGTCGTTGGATTTTTTGGGACTATCGAAAGGGACGTAATGGTCATTGAAGGCAACATGTAAGGATACCTTAGCATTTCGAAGGGACTATCATCATAAGATCATTTCTCGTAGGCAACTCGAGGGACATTTTAGGGACTATGATCTTTATGATGACTTTAAACTGGGGGTCTTTGCTAAGAGTATCTCTAGGTTTGAGGAACATGACCAAGGTTTCTTAAGGCAACCAAGTGAGGTAATACCCTAGGGGTGCAAGTGTGCAAAAGTGTGCCTTTTTCAGATATATTTATCTTGAACTTTAGTGATCTACAGATTGATTGATTAAGCATATACGCCTAGGTTGCTAGCAGTTTATATACAAGCGTATAAAATATAAAAGCGAGAAATAAAGGTCCTACGCTATTACA